CCACAGTCTCCATTTTGCAGTTTAAATGCATATTTTGGCTAAGGATAATTATACATGTACTGACTTAATTGTACTATTATAATAATATTTTTATCACATTTTTTTCCATACATATTTTCAATATTTAATTCGGTCTTGTCTTACATTTACATATCCCTAACGTATTCATCAGTTTACCAGTTTTAATGTTCTTTTCCAGATGGTACCTAAGAATTATAAGATCCACTGTCACTGTTTTACTGGTGACTACACAGGAGCGACCCGGTGGATTGAAGCCTTTCCTAGACTGTTTATAGGCCTGACTCCGATGGTGACCTACAGACAATGCGTCCAGACCCACAATGTTGCACGCTATATTCCACTCAACAAATTGTTGTTAGAGACAGATGCACCATACTTCTTGCCAAGAAAAGTAATTTATCATTATTGTATTAATCTTTTTGATTTCATTGCACTGAGAGGCTAACAAAAGAGAGATATTATAACAATCTGAGTTATTTGACACATGTTTTTTCCCTGTAGATTCCTAAGGAGGAAATGGCTTTGTCCCACCCTGGTATGGCCATTACTGTAGCAGAGAGAGTGGCCTTCTTCCAGCAGTGCACAGTACAGAAAGTCCTCCAGGCCTGCAGGAACAACATGAGGGAAATGTACGGAATCTAAAACTAAAGGATATTTATATCAAATACTCAGATCTTACAGATCAATCACACATTATCATTCAAAAGAGTTACTCAGTGACAATGAAATAATGTGAAAGCATTTTAAGAACAGTCTAGGATATGAATTATCTTGAATAATTACTAGGTATAATATTATGAAATTGTTTCACATCTTTTTCTCAGGTTTTAGTCTGTATTAAAATAACTTAAATCTGCAATATGAATAAATATTAATATCCCTGAAAGCTTTCAGATCAAGCATTGCTTATTTTTGTATCATTAATTTAAAGCCCCCCACATATATATTGTCATCTTTTAAAAAATATTTATTTGAAGTACTAAAGCCTATAATACAGTGGGTTAGTACTAAATAGTACTGATGTTAGTATACAGTTAAAGTATATCATTGAGGGAGTTAACAAGATTCCAGTTCTCCAGGCCAGGACTATTCCCTATAAAATGGATGTATAAAAAAGCTAACACCTCAAATGTTTTGTTACAATCTAAAGGCCTGTGACAAAAGCAAAGCAACCTTAATTGAAAAGAATTCAAGTTTCTACAAAGCAGCCTTAAATTAATTTGGAATTTCAAATGGCAGATGCCTTTTTTTCAAGGGAAGATAATAAAGACCTTGTTTGAAAGTTTTTCAACATAAATGTGGATTTAAATCATTCTTCCTCCTTCAGGGGTAAGGTTGTTTGTTGGGGATGTTTATATCACCATATGGCCTTTACAGAGACATACATATAGCATCGTTTTTGAAAGTGTGGGGACTAGCTAACATAAAATCCAACTTACCTGTAAAATCTTGGATAAGCAAAAAAAAAAGGCAGGGGGGGGGGGGTACTAAAATTCGAAAATTAAGTTATTTCGTGGGGGAGGGACTGTATATAGCAATAAGGGGAGGGGGCTACAATCTGCATTTGTATAAATATTTTCCATAGGAAAAATTTGTATTTGGAAGAAGGGGGGGTCTCCCATCTATATATGCTATATATGCTTGCATTGGGTTCAGAAAGTGTCCTCAATAGGGCATAAGAGTAGTTTAACCAGGGAATGTATAGAGAATTTTTTTTTAAAAACCTTGTGAAGAACAACAGGGCCATGATCACCCATTGATATGCAGCATCCTTGGTGTAGATCCAGGTTTGTTCACATCATGGCCCTGAGGGTAGAGACTAGGGAAAGGCCACAGGACAAGATCATAGCAATTGTTTCAGAAGTAGCAGTGCCGTACCAAGTCATGTTTATATGTCAACATTTCTAGGTTGTGTGAATTCAATTTTTAGCTCTACTGGTCAGAGACCAGAAGAGCTTATGCGTCCGTCTGTCTGTAAACAATTTTTCAAAATGCTACTCCTCCTACAGTTTTGGTCTGATTTCATCATAACTTGGTATACAAGTAGACTACACTAAGATACATAATTCTGTTTATCGGTTTTTGATTTCGATGAACGATGTTGCCGTGGTTACTAAAAATAGAAATTTGTGTGAAATACTTTTATAATGCTACTCTTCCTACAGTTTTGGTCTGATTTCAATATATAACTCGGCACAAAAGTAGACAACACTAAGATACATAATTCTATTTATCGGTTTTTGATTTCGATGACGGTGTTGCGGTGGTTACAAAAAATAGAAATTTGTGTGAAATACTTTTAAAATGCTACTCTTCCTACAGTTTTGATCTGATTTCAATATAACTTGGCACACAAGTAGACTACACTAAGATACATAAGTCTATTTATTATATATCTAACGTGATTTTTCGCTATCACGTGACGTCGTGATCCGATTTTCCGGATCACCACACTGTGGTTTTCTAAATCCATATCACCACTCTCTGAAACTGATGACGTAGTACGCAGAAACATGACGTTGTTTTTCTTGCGCGTTAAAAAGTCCCTTGCTATTATGCTTAAAGTTTGTTTTATGGATAAATATTATACAATTGATCTCTTAAGATTTATTTCGCTATATTTTGCTAGTTATGAGGGGGTATATAATAAATTAATCATTATAACATTAACTTGATCTGAAGAGTCGTATCACTTCTCGTTGACAGGTGCGGATCATCAGATCAAACTCGACGCTTCACGACTTGTAAGATCTGATGATCCGCGCCTGTCAACGAGACGTGATACGACCCGTCGGATCAAGTTACTGTTATAATAATATATATGTATCGATTTTTGATTTCTATGAACGGTGTTGCAGTGGTTACTAAAAATAGAAATTTGTGTGAAATACTTTTATAATGCTACTCTTTCTACAGTTTTGGTCTGATTTCAAAATAACTTGGCACACAAGTAAACTACACCAAGATACATAATTCTGATTAATGGTTTCTGATTTCCATGAACGATGTTGCCGTGGTTACTAAAAATAGAAATTTGTGTGAAATACTTTCAAAATGCTACTCTTCCTACAGTTTTGGTCTGATTTCAATATATAACTTGGCGCACAAGTAGACTACACTAAAATACATAATTCTGAATATCAGTTTTGATTTCGGTGAATGGTGTTGCCGTGGTTACTAAAAATAGAAATTTCTGTAAAATACTTTTATAATGCTACTTTTCCTACAGTTTTGGTCTGATTTCAATATAATGTGGCACTAAAGTAAACTACACTAAGATACATAATTCTGTGTATTGGTTTTTGATTTCGATGAACGGTATTGGTGTGGTTACTAAAAATAGAAATTTGTGTGAAATACTTTCAAAATGCTACTCTTCCTACAGTTTTGGTCTGATTTCAATATATAACTCGGCAACAAGTAGACTACACTAAGATACATAATTCTGTATATCAGTTTTTGATTTCGATGAACGGTGAACGATAAACCCTTGAATGACCTTTTTGTCCGAAAATCGATTTCTAGATGTGCACTGCTATGGGCAGCGGAAAGGGCAAAAATTACAATAATGAGAAAACAAACAATTATTTTAATTTCAATGACCATAAAAACTTAACAAATGATATACAATGCATAATCAACAGACATTTTCGCAGAACAAATATACATTAAAGCATAACCAACGAACAAGTATACGTAACAAACATATATGAATGCAAAACCAACGATCATCTTTGCAGTACAAACGTACATAAAAACACGACAAACGAAAAAAACTTAACCAACGTGCACGCGGTAAATCTAGTCTTCCAGACTCCCGGCTCCCGACGGTATCGGATTTTTTTTTTAATTTCTTTTTTGTCGGTGCACAGAAACTCTTCAAACTTCTCAGGCACATTTTCTTTTTAGATGAATTCAATAATATGTAAAAACTTAAACAAATTTGCATATTTATTATTGACTCAGCAGTATCACCTTCCAAAAAGCGGTAAATGTAGTACTCCGTTATAGATATGAAAACCAAAAACGGACATCGATACAGAGAGACGTAAGTGTCATAGATAGTAAAGGTGCATGGACACAGATTTGAAGTTAATATTTTCTTTATTCTATTACGACTTATATATTTTAATATCATTTCACACAAAAATATATTAAAAATCTTATTTCATCTAAAAGTTATTAAAACTTCAAATTTTTAGACGGGTTTGATTGACACATCCTTACACTCTCACAAATTTTAATTTCATTCTTAATACTTAGGAAAAGTGGCAATCTTGTTTCAATAACTTTAAGACGAAATAAATTATCTTCAAATCTGTGTCCATGTATCTTTAAAGATATTTAAGGTATTGATATTGAGAAGATAGAGTTAGTATTTCAGTGAAATTTGGTGGTGTTAATAAAAAAAAAGAACAATTAAATTCTATAAAAACTCATAGCAACAAAATGATTTGATTTCAAAAAAGATTTTTATTAAAATCTTCATAAAAATAGCTAAAACTAACATTGTACTTATGGTGAAATAATGCAAAATGAAAGTACTGCATTGTTATACATTGACTAGCATCGTTTTTAAAAGGAGGGGGTAACCAAAGAAAAAAATTCAATCTAGCTGAAAAAAAGGTTTTAAAAACTTAACAAGCAAAAACAAAAAGGAAATTTAAATGATATAGCCCAAACTCAAAAATCTCGTGTGTGTGAGGGTGTGTGTGTGTGTGTGTGTGGGGGGGGGGGGGGGGTAGGTTCAACTTCTTTCAGTGCCAATTTTTTTTCTAGTATACATGTACTACATAACCTGTACTACATAACCCTTTTTTGACCTTACTCTTAAAATTGGGAATTGTTGCTACGTACCTGCCATATGATATGCCACTGTAAGGTAAAGTTATCATAATGGATTCTTTAAATATTTAAAGAATTGGGGAAAACACATTTATGTAACAACAACAACAAAAATTGACGAAACGGCATTCAGGAAAATGAGATATTTTTCTACATTTTATGGAAATTCTTTTCTTTCATTTTAAATTTTTCTGATAAATTTACCCCCCCCCCCCAAAAGGAAAAAAATTAAGGTAGAACCACGTCCATGTTGTATAGCCTGGGAACATAAACATAATGTGGCAAAGAGTTCTATATATACAAAAAAAATGTGTGGGGGAATTTCTGTGCATACAAATTATCTTGCATGTAAATGAGGGTTTTCATTTATTAAATAAATATAAACTGTACCTCAGTTTGTTGTTTTTAATCGCGATTCTACGAAAACGTCTGTGTCCTTTTTCAGTGGTTTTCGCATTTACAGCTGAATACTAGATTTACCGCTTTTGGCAAATGATACTGCTGATTCAGTAATAAATACGCAAATTTGTTAAAGTTTTTATATATTAATGATTTTTTTTTAAACCTAGAAATTTGCCTGAATAATGTGAAGACTGTCTGTGCGCCGACAAAATAGAAATCGCCAAAAAAAAAAAAAAAAAAAAGAAAAGAAAAGAAAATCCGATACCGTCGGTAGCCGGGAGTCGGGAAGACTAGATTTACCGCGTGCACGTTGGTTAAGTTTTTTTCGTTTGTCGTGTTTTTTGTACGTTTGTACTGCAAAGATGGTCGTTGGTTTTGCATTCATGTATGTTTGTTACGTACTTGTTCGTTGGTTTTGCTTTATTGTATATTTGTTTTGCGAAAAGGTCTGTTGATTATGCATTGTATATCATTCGTTAAGTTTTTCTGGTCATTGAAATAAAATAATTGTTTGTTTTCTTATTATCGTAATTTTTGCCCTTTCCGCTGCCCATACACTGCGCACCGTTTTTGCCCAGATATGAAAAATCTTGATTTACAAAAGACGGTCTGTGAGGTTGCCGATATAAATCAAATAAT